TGCCGCCCTCGGTATTGAGCGCGACATCGGCGCTGCAGTAAGCCGAGCAATTGCACCAGGCCGACGGAAGGCCAACTGAGGGGCCCTAACACGGCGTGCCCTCCCTGATCACAGGAAAACAAAGTTGATGAATAGAGTTGAAACAAAGCGGAACAGAAGAAGAAATCAATTTTCTACCGGCCACAGGCCTACGGCCATGCCTCTCCCAGAAAGACGCCCATGTGCGTATCCCCACCGTATGGGGGAGTACGGCCTCGACCCACTCACATATCCAAGGCAATGGGGCCGGCGGCGACCTGTCGGCTACAAAAAACGATACGAGTTAACGCTCATGATCACAAATCATAAAGAGGGGAAGAAAAGGGAATTCAACCACTAAAGAACTTACGTGCATGGTTCCAAGCCTCTGGGAACCCAGTAGCATCCGCCACCAGATGCCTGGTCCTGATATAAAAGAAGTGCTCGAAAGGGCGAGGGTCGACCTCGTCATCCAATCTCATGACCAGGCCCCTCGACCCACGAGGGCACGCCTGAATCATGGTGCCACGGACTCTCTGGGGAGCGTAGAGACTAAGCACATGCTGCAGCGTGACCTCCCTATGGGCCAATTCCGCGTACTTGATGAACATTGCCAACAATTTGTACAGGGAAGGAGTGAGATGACCCGGGCACACCCCGTAATAACGGCAAAAATCCACCACCAGCATTGGGAGCGGGATCTTGAACCCCAACCTGAAAGGATAGGCGTAAAAAACGCAGTATCCCCTGCGGTCGGTGTGGACCCTCTCCTCGCTTCTAGCGGGGCTTCATCCACCGGGTCCTCTCCACCGTCGACAGTGAAATCAATCGCCAGACCTCCGGGCCGAGGAACTACCTCGTCAACCGACGGAACTTCTCCGATCTCTATCTGTTCTGCACCTCCCATTGCCGGAGGTGGCCCTTCAACTACCGGAAAATCTATCGGAAGAGCATCGTGGAAAGAACTACCTGCCATTGTTGATCTACTAAAGAGAAAGGGATAGAATTCGGTGGGCAAGACAAAGGTTATCACAATCAAAGGAAAGAAAGATGAAGATGAATTAGCAGAACGAAAAAGTTTCCTCTGAATCTCTCTCAGATGAACAATGAAGATATGAGAAATGAATGCCTCAACCCACCTTTATAGGCAACATAAATGGCTTTCGCGAAACCCAATAGCCGTCATTAACTGCACGACCAACCGTAAAACAGTTCGGTCCTGCCGAAGCATGCGTTATTATGACAAGCTCCGCGAGGCGGCTTCTCAGCCATCCGCCAACGTCCCGCCGTCAGAATAATCGCAACGGCCTGCGAACGCTGAAAGAATGCGTCGTACGCCTTCAAAATTCCGGACGTGACCAAATACGTACCCGGCGCATACTCATTCTCCACGGCCATCGCCATTATATAAAAGGCTACGGCCATCTCCAATATATGAAAGTCCACGGCCATCGCCATTGTATGAAAGGCTACAGCCATCTCCAATATATGAAAGGCTACGGCCATCGCCATTGTATGAATGGCTACGGCCATCTCCAATATATGAAAGGCTACGGCCATCGCCATTGTATGAAAGGCTACGGCCATCCCCAATATATGAAAGGCTACGGCCATCTCTAATGTATGAAAAGCTACGGCCATCCCCAATATATGAAAGGCTACGACCATCTCTAATGTATGAAAGGCTCTCCAATATATGGAAGGCTACGGCCATCTCCAACATGTAAACGGCTAAGGCCACCGCCGTCAATAAGTCGACCCCCTTATTCGAGTTTTTTCGAATCACAATCGATGAAGTCCGCTCATCGAGCTCGGCCGAAACACGACCTCAATAAGCGGAGGGACTAACTGTATGGGTCAAAATCCAATCTCACGGTAATTAACGGAGTTAATCTCGTCTTGACCTAATCCATAATTAACAAGTGGTATGGCCACTTATTCATAACAGGATTCGACTCTTGTCTGATTTAACCTACGAGGGCACGACCCATTCATTCCCCCGTGGGGACGGAACCTCAGCGTGGCCACGGCCATTTATTGCCAGCTCACGAAGCTCACATCTATAAATACTAAGAGTGGAAGCCCTAGAAAGGGGGCTGCTTCTTCATCACTATTGACAAAAGAGAGAGAGAAGAGAAAAATATACCCATCTTATGGCAAGAGAAAACACCATTGTAAGGCTCTGAACCTCTTCATGGAGAGGCAGACCAAACCAATATTATCAAAAAAAGCTGTTAAGACTTCTTCCCCTAACCTTGAGTACTTATTTTCATGTTCTTCGCTTGGTCCGATGGATTATTACGATTTGCTATGATTTTCCCGTAACTTATTTGTATTGTTTTGCACTCATAAAGCACATGATAACTTTTGAGCAAACACTTATGAGTTTTCAAACTAAGATATCAAACGATTGAAAGGCATTGTCACTAGTTCGAATTCTACTGATTCCTCAAATAGTATTATTGCCTAATTCGGTTTTGCTTATTTCCTTATAAATTTTAAAAGGGAAAAAATGAAATCTCAACCTAAAGAGTCCAAGGACATTGTACAATGTCAAAATAATTAGAACTAACACTAGGGTAATTGTGCATGCTGAAATTTGGTGTGTGTTAGCATGATATCAATTTGGTTTTTATCTATGGATATCAAACACTCGCATGTAGAATGTGACAATAAAGTGGCTTTCCAAAAATAAGGTGAGGAAGGTTGACAAGGAGTTTTGAAAAATATTTTTCCTGTTCTTTGTTTACCCTTAAAATGAGTAATAATTAAATTTGTATGCGGTTTAAAGGATACGTGATTTAATTTAACACGAATGATCTAAGAGCAAGAAGTAATTGAACTAAAGGAAAACAAGGCGATCAAACCAAATGTGATGAAATAATTAAGCCTGGCGTTAGGTTTGAATGCTGAAAACCGGTTCCGATCAAGCCCTCGAGATGGAGCTCGGTTGCAACTAAAGAAATGAACAACTGAAGAACACTTGAACAATAGCTAAAAGACAAAAGTAAACGTTATTGCTTTGATATACGTGCCAACAGTGACCCAAAAAATGAAAGGTTCTCCCCTTTATATAGTAGGAGAATTTCAACACTAGTACAAGTCTAAATAAGGTAAAGATCCTTTTCTTCCTTTTTTTTCCAGTAAAACACGATCCGCTGTTAATATCGGTCGTGATCCGCACCGTAATATCCGGTTGATGGAGGATATTCGGCTCCTCGTTCGTCCTCTTTAACCGTCTTCCCTTTAACTTCGATTCTTTATTTCGCTCGAGATTAATTCTTCCCATGTTTAGCCACGCCCAATTTCCGACGTGCCGTTCGTCCCCCCCGGACTTCGATATATGGGCACCCTCGGCCTTACTTGAGCCAGCGTCGAATCACGCCGTCCCTCATTTCTTCATCAGGAAATTGGGGGTAAGTTTATCCCCGATTTTACCCGTATACACTCTTGGTAGGGAAAAATTCCGAAAATGAATTCATGAGGAAAATCTTTTCCAATACATTTAAGCAAGTGAAGAGCGTGAAGCGAGGAAAAGCGACAACCCCCATTTCACGAGAAGCGAAGCGCTCGCTTTTTTTAAGTGAAGCGGAATTTAAAAAAATAAAATAAAATAAATACTGCAAAGATAACACATGTAATTGTAAGTAAATGTTCAATACTTCAATTAAAAAACTAACGAGTAGCATCAATCGGCCAGAAATTTTGGGCAGAAACTAGAAAAATTGGGCAGAAATTTCCCAAAAAAAATTCGCCAGCATTTCACCGCTTTTTGGACGTTTAGAAAGAAAAAGAAAAAGAAAAAGAAGAAGAAGACTGAAAATCAAAAGTGCAGAAGTAGAACATACCTGTACTGTTGAAGAAGAAGAAGAAGAAGAACAACCCTAGTTGATGCTTTGAGATTATTTCAGAAATCAGAAGTTGACGAAGAAGAGAAGAAGAAATCGCTGCTGTTTTTGAAGAAAAACCCTAGTCTCGCTGCTGTTGAAGAAGTCCAGATAGTGTTTACGGTTTAGAAACCTCGGTTTTTTAATAAAATAGGGCTTGGGTTAATTTTAAACATAGAAGCGGACGCTTCTAACGCTTCTTCTCGCTTCACCGCTTCTCGCTTTTTACAGAGAAGCGGTCGCTTTTTCGTACCAGAGTCGCTTCTATTACCTGAAGCGCTGGCCTTCACGCCTCGCTTCGCTTCTCTCTTAAAGCGAGGAAGCGAGCGCTTTCTTATAGTCCGCTTGGCCAAGCTTCTAAAATTAGCTTATTTTGAGAAGTGCTTTTCTCAAAAGTACTTTTAAAAAAAATTGCTTTTGGTGAGAAGTAGTTTGTGTTTGGCTAATTAATCAGAAAAACACTTTTGAACAGTAATTAGTGTTTGGCCAAGCTTTTGAAAACTGCTTCTAAGTGTATTTTTCTCAAAAGTGCTTCTCAGAAAAGTGCTTTTGGAGAGAAGCTACTTTTTTCTGCTTCTGCTTCTCCTCAAAAGCACTTTTTTTCATTTCAAAAGCTTGGCCAAACACCCTAATTTTTGGCCAAAAGTGCTTTTGGCCAAAAAAAGCACTTTTGGCCCAAAAAAAAGCTTGGCCAAACAGGCTATTAATCACTGATTTAAGACAACCAAATATAAAAAAAATTAAAAATTTGTACCATACGCACCCTAAGTGAGACGAACTCGGATACAAACGACAACATGCTACAAACATTCAGTTGCAAATCCATTTCAACTCGTGAAATCATACTAATAAATGAATTAAGTAAAAGAATAAGTAGCGAATCAATTTTAAATTTAGAGAAGCTAAACTGAATCTAGATAAAAGTTAGTAGTACACCGAATCAGATCCTCTTAAACTTAAAATATATAAATTGCTAAACAAATTTTTTTAAGTAATCAAGGGGAATGTGCGCGACACTGTCAAGATGTGGGAACAGCTAGCCAATCACGTGAGAATAAACGTACTTACTGAAGGGTAACCTTCCTCAAACGTAGGATGTTTCATACGGTAATTATTCGTCGAGTTCTCCGCACACGATCATGTGCCGGGCCTGCCGGCTATAAAAAGGGACTTGGTAACAACCTCTCTTTTCGAAGCTTCCTTGTCTTGTGCAACTCCAAAAATAGGGGCGAGTTTTCTCCATCACTCCATCCCATTTTCTGAACCATGGCCGAGGCAGCTGCCAAGCCACCTACTAATGCAGTAAGTACATCATGCCTTTTTTTTTTCGTATTTTCTCCAATTCGTATTTACTTAGGAAGTACTTGCACACAAGTACCACTATTCTTGACCTATAATAAGTAACTTTTGTTTTAGTGATCGATTTGTTATCTCCATATGTAGTTTTCGGCAATTTTTGCCTCATGAGATAACTTTTGAAATTTTACAGTTAAGTCTGTTCATTTTTGATGTTAGAGTCAAACTTATCTGAAATCTCAAAGCCTCATGTTATGTTGTTCATACCTTATACGTTCAGATCTAAACGTGCCAGGGGTGTTAAATTATCTCATATTAGTAATTGAGGAAATGCATTATTGCCTTCTTAAACGGACCTGACAATTTTCATCTCATGAGTAAGCTTTTGAAATTGAATTTGGCCCAAATTCCCCTTTCTTAACACACCTAAGGTTCTCTAACAGCTTAATTTTTCCTTATTCCCGGTACTTTCATTCTTAAATGTAGATGTACCATATGCTGAAATTCAGAAGTTTAACTTTGTATCTAATTGTCTATAATTGAAGGTAGCAGAGGATGAGAGGAAACTCAAATATTTGGATTTCGTTCAAGTTACAGCGATCTATGTGATAGTTTGCTTCTCCACTTTGTACGAATACGCCAAAGGGAACTCCGGGCCACTGAAACCTGGTGTTGAAGCTGTTGAAGCCACTGTTAAAACCGTCATCGGACCGGTTTACGAAAAATTCCACGACGTGCCTTTCGATCTCCTCAAGTTCGTCGACTTCAAGGTTTTTACATTCTTAAAATTTCTTTATGACCAATTAATAAATAAATTTTACTCGTAGTCTTCTCACCATACTTTTTCATTATAAAGTCAAAGTATGGGCAGCGTGTAAAAAGTATGGGTGAGAACGGGCAAATTGAGTAGGGTGCGTAGCGTATGGCAGCGTGTACAAAGTATTCTTTTTCTATTTCAATTCATTTGGCACTTTTTTATAAAGTGAAATTTTTCTAAATTAAATCGGGGACTAAATTGATACGTTTTTCAAATTAAATTTTAGACAAATATATTGAGAACTTGAGATTAAATGCTAAATTGTTTTTATTAAAATATTAAGTAAACATTGTTTGAATCTGGGCAATTCTCATATTCGGACTTATATTCGAAGTTGAAGTTAAAAAAATGTTGTAAAGATTGAAATATTTGGTAGAGTGGGAATTGAAATAGTTGAAATACAGCTTCAATTCACAACTTCGACTTGAATTTTGTCTTTTAAGTTTTGATTTCAAACTTTGCTTTCAATTTATACGAAATGTCAACTTGCAAGCTCAAATCTGTGAATCCACTAACAAATTCCGCCTAAAAGTATCAAACATTTTAAACGGATTGTTATCTGATTAGCGAGTGACGAAATATGCAGGTTGAAGATTTGATGAACGAAGTAGATCGCCATGTACCTTATTTACTGAAGCAGACGTCATGCCAAGCTCTGTTGCTGGCTCAGAAGGCTCCTGAATTAGCTCGAGATCTCGCCGGCGAGATACAGCGTGATGGCTTAGTTGACACGGCGAGCAGGGTAGCCAAAGCGCTTTACAAAAAGTACGAACCTACAGCCAAGGAGCTATACGAAAAGTACGAGCCACTAGCCGAGAAGAATGCTGTTTCGGCTTGGCGGTCTTTTAACAGGCTTCCGCTATTCCCTCAAGTGGCTCAGATTTTGGTGCCTACGGCTGCTTATTGGAGCGAGAAATACAATCAAGCTGTGGCGTATGCGTCAGAGAGAGGCTATGCGGCGGCGTATTATTTTCCGATTATTCCTCTGGAGAGGATCGCGAAGGTGTTTGAAGGCGGCGCCGGCGCCGCTGAGAACGGGCATTCCGTTTCCGTGAATGACGGTTCGGTTACTTTGGTGCAATGACCATTTTTGCATTTCTTTAATTTTTTCAGTATGTGACGTAAGGATGGACTGGGCCCATTGGGCTTTAATGGGCCGCTGGGTTTAATAATTTTGGTTTGTTTGTTTCTTACATTGTTATCTGTAGTGAAAAAAAGCACTAATTGTTATCTTTATATCATAAGCCATTATTTATCTAATTCCTACATATACTGTATTAGTGTGCTCATATTTCTTGCTTCTGAAATTCCACTGAATAACTGGTACCATCGCTAATGTAATCGGTTTCTAGCCATTTTTACTTAAAATATATTAGTAAATAACATAATTGCCCTTGAACTTTTTAACATTCTGATTAGTTACATTTCATTTGTTATCGCTCTTATCTTTCTTTTTGCAACATTGTACAAATTTCGCTTTCGTTAGAGCACTTTCTTCGAATTTAGTCCGGGTTAGGTCCAATTTTCATCAAATTTATCTGGGTGAGTGTTGTTTTACAATAATGTGTTTGAATTTTCGTTGTTATTCTTGTTTCGTTAGTTTTAAGTTTGATTTTCGTACTGTAGCGTTTAAATATTTGTGGTATTTTGACTTTTACGATTTTTTTCTCTGTTCAGTAGTTCGTCTTATTTCTGATAATTTTGTTATTAGTTTTATGTTGTAATGTTGTAATCGTTGCGTAATTTGTTTTGATAAGTTGTTCAAATATTTTTTTAGTCTCTGTATATTAGGGTTAATTTTCAAGTATTTTTTCGCTTCAACTGCATTATAGATTTCTCGAGTTCTTGTTAGAACTTGATTCCAGTATATTTTACGGGAAGTCTGCTGTCTGTAAGCTTGTTGTCCAAAATGTTACACTAGATGAGTTTTGTTTAGACTAGAGTTTTGTTTTGTTTGCGATTGATTTTTTTGAATGATTACTTGTCTTTTTTTCAATATTCTATTTGATTATGTTTCTTATTTATACTGCAGTATTTGTTTCCGGAGTTTCATTGTTTCTAATTAATTTGATCCAGTATGTAATACTTGAGTTTTGTTTGATTCCAGTATATTTTAGGGGAAGTCTGCTGTCTGTAAGCTTGTTGTCCAGTATGTTATACTGGATGAGACTGCTTAGACTAGAGTTTTGTTTTATTTGTGATTACTTTTTTTGAATGATTATCTGTCTTTTTTTAATTTTTTTTATTATGCTCTTTGATTATGTTTCTTCTTTATGTTTACCGTGAAAATGGTAATAACAATTAAATTTGTTGATGGGACTCTAAAAATACGTGATCTATTTTTATGCTAGTCGTGGAGCAGTTGATGCTGTGAGTGCATAGTTTGAGGGTGAGACGCGAGCAAAAATAAAGCAGTAATCGAACCGAGAGATAGCCGTTCGGGGCCTCAAGCTGGTCGATTTGGAGCCTCGAGGCCGAGTCTTGAGCTCGGGCTCGAGCTATCGGGGGAAATCAGGAAGGGCTAACAGATGCAATAATATTAAAGGAGGCTCTTTATAGCCAATAATAAGCAATAAACAAGCAATGAATATGAAACAAGTATGAAAATAATAGGATAGAACAACAGTGTCGAGAGAGTATCTTAGAGAGAAAGAGAGAGAGAGTTATCATATATTTCATGTAGAGTCTTTGGAGCCACATCCGTGCTCTACAAAATAGTAAAAACTCCCTTGATATAGAAGGGGGAAACTTATATGGTAAGGAATCCGCTAGCTGTAAGGGTGTGGAGATGGGACGGCTGGAAATGACGCCTCGAGTAGGGCTCAGAATAGCCTGGCTATGTTTTTGTCAGACTTAGCCGTGACAGATTTAGCCGCATCTTAGGAACTCCTACTTCTGCTTTAGCCTCGATCGATATCCTTCCGAGGCCGGGTGCCGATGGGCCCCGAGGGAGAAGACTCGAGCGCATCTTTGCAGCCTCGAGGCTTTAAGTCGATCTTCCGAAATGCTTAAAAGACGGGAAATTGGACCCTCCGATTTTTGCCGTATACAGATAGTCTCCGCGTTTCCTAGATCGAAGTGATGGGAAATGAATTTGATGCCCGGCTCTTCGGGCTCTCTACGATGACGTCATACTAACAATCGCAGTATATGACATAAGCCGTTATGATAACCGGAAACGTTCCATCGTTTCGCCTTTCCAGGGTTGTTCAAAGCCTTGTGGTTTCTCGTCCTCCAAAATCATAATGTTGCCGCCGATTCACCTCGAACGCGAGTATTTTTCTCGGCTTTGTTTGATAGAAAAGGCTCCCTTTGGAGCCCATCGTTGTTTCTCGGATCGACCTCGAATTGGTCTGATAGACCCGGGCCAACGGGACCCTCGAGTCTCATAGAGATAATACTTTGAGACTTGATGTTCTTGAGGGCGATGTCTGAGTGAAGTTGGCTTAGCACGCCTGGAGATTTGTCTTGAACTTGTCGAAGATATCCCTTCTAAGACGCTGTAGATAGGTCCTAGATGATGGATTACCCGAATCTTGGCGATGCCCTGAGGTCGAGCCCCTTTGGGCGCAGCTTCGAATTTCCTGTTCCTCCCCTTGGGGGGATTCCTTCGAGCTCAGGTACTATCTCGGGCCCCATAATGGTGTTGGAGGTTTTATGGAGCCTAGCTTCCTGTCGACAGAGGTCCTCGAGGTCGAGTATTTCCTCGGTACTGGAGATGATGTTTGCTGGCTTCTTGAAGCCTAGCTTTACGTTGATGGAGGTCCTCGAGGTCGAGTATTGCCTCTGGACTATCATTTGAAGTCATTGACTTCCCGGGGCATATCTCGGGCAGGCGGATCGTTGCTGTTTCCGCGTATATATGGGGTTACTTCCGCCTCTTGGGAGATTCCCTTTTTAGATATTTCCTTCCATTTTCGGCGTTGAGCCCTTCGTTACCTTAATACCAGGGTGTTTGTGCAGGTTTCTGCTTTGGCGCCTCTAGTCTTGCCATGGCTACGACTGCTGCTTCGGTGTCCGCTTGTCAGAGAGGGGAGAGCTCCGCTCCCAGTGCTCAGGATCCGCGGGAGTTTATCTTGAAGACTACGTCTTTGATAAGGGAAGAGCACCTTGAATTGGTGAGGGGGGGAGGAGGTAGCGCTACAGGTGCTTTCCCCGGACGAAGGTATCGCCGACCCTGCCGATGGGTTCCTGAATGTATATACGTATCCCTTCACACTGGGACCTCTTGACAGGGCCGTGCTCCATTTTTGTGTAAAGTATCGGGTTACCTTGGCGCAGGTACACCCGTTGTTTTGGAAAATTGTGTTGATGATGAGGTTTATTGCAGAAAAGGCGGGGCTTGAATTCACGCTTAGCCATCTCGTCAGGCTGTACCGGCCTTTTCACCACCGAGGTCTGCTAACCTTGTGGTGTCGTTCGTCCACGCCTTTTGTTATTGATGACGATGAAGGCGAAGATCTGGAGTGGGCCAGTCGGTTCGTACGGGTCCGGATGGCCGACGTTATCCCTGTGGAGCTTATGCCATTCCCCGAAGAATGGAACTATATGCGTGAGTGGAGCGTCTTGTGCTTTCCCAGATTCGTTCATGTTGAAAGCTAATCTCGTAATCGCGTTTCCTTCCTTTCTGCAGCGATTTTATGGGTGCCAGGTGAAGTTCCTGATCTGCCTGGTTGGGTCCGGAAGCTGGCGACCCACTCAACTTGCGACGAGCGCGGGTGGCGAGCTGCATCTCGGGGCAGGTGGGAAGCAAAACGTCATGGTGCGTGTGTATATTGCTTGTCCCTTGTCCCTTGTTTACTCGGAGAGACATTCTCCCTTTTTTATGCACTAACCTTGCTGTTGTAGGTATCGGAGAGCCTCCGATGGCGAGGCTGTGCCCCTCTAGAGAGGAGGAGGGGTTGCCGGCGTTCAGGTCAAAGTATGACAGTGATAAGCTGGAAATGCACTTGCAAGGAGATGGCGCTTGTGGCGAGGCGATACGGGGTCGGGCTGTTGAGATGGGAACATCGCCCGAGCCTATCGTGCCCAAGGTTACTGGTTCTGGAAAGGTGGATCCTTCGAACGGTCGTGTTTCGACCGGGGCCGACTCTTCCGGGGCCGACGAGGCTAGATCAACAGATATGAGCTCGGTCTTCGAGGAAGTCTTCCGACTTCATTTTGAGGTGAGCTTCGTCGTAAGCCTCCTAAATCCGCGTCTTCCTTTTCTTACCGAGTTTTTCATTTTGTAGGCCGTTGACAGGCTTAGATCCGAGCTGCTCCGTCATGGGGCTAGGCTCCGGAAAGCTCTGGATGAGGGCAAATTCCTTAGGCTCCTTTGTGAGGAGAAGGAAAATTGTTGGCATACTGGCGATGTGAGGTGTATCGGAGCCTGAATTACGAGAGCTATTTGACGGAGCAGGTAACTTCCTGCCCCGGTTGAGTATGCATTTTGCTTTTTATCTTCTAAGGTTAATTCTTCGTCTATCTCAGCTGCAGAAAAAGATGGAGGCCTTGGAGAATCTTAGGGGCGAGGCTGAACAAATCACAAATGACTGTACCGAGCTGAGAGCTCGGGCGCAGGTTCAAGCCTCAGAGGAGAAAGATGCATCGACTAGACATTCGGCCCTCGGAGTCCATCTCCGTTTAGCTCGTGGCAACATTTCAGTTCAAGCGGATATGATCGCGAAGCTTGAATCCGAACTTTTGAAGGTTAGGGCTGAGATTGTTGATGTTCGGGCCGAAGCGGTTTTGAACCATACTGGGGCCGATCAGGAGATGGCGCTTCATTTGAAGGATGCTACCGATGCTCAAGCCGAGTTGAAGAGGGTCCTTGAACATGGAAAGAAGATTAATCTCGGAGAAAGGTTCTCGAAGAAATCAGTGCCAGGGTTTTTTTCTCTCGGAAGAGTTGGCCCGAGCGAGGGCGGACGAGCGTGATGCTCGGTCACTCTTGTCCGATGCCGAGGAGACTGAAGATGAGGCCGATAGGCCGTAGCGCTCGGGGGTGGGGCATAGACCTTGCCATCCCGTACGTAGTACCTTTTTTGAGTATGTTTGTAGATGGAGAATGTATTTTTCCACGTATGTACCTGAAAAAGAAAAAACCCTTTTGCGGCTTTTTTGTTCTTCTGTACCTTCTTTTGTTTCGCTTATGGCTAGGCGGACTGGTTTCAGAGTCAGTGAGATTTATTAGATCCGTGGTATGGCCCTAGGGCTCATTAGGCGGGCCCGGGGGCTCTTACGCGCTCGGTCATTGCGACGTTTAGTGTAAGCAGGCATTTTGAGCACTTAAGCTTTTGCCCAACTA